GTCATTCCAACAGAAGGGTGAGAATTCATATCATTATAGAAATATATAATAATAAGTAATGCATCACAACATCCATCAAAAGAATTCATCATACTTCACATAATATTGTATTCAACATACTTCAACACAACTCACATGATTACATATATAACATTGCTCAATGATTCAAGATTCAAAGATAATCAATCACAATTACCACAAAAGTAACATTCACACAAACAACACATATTTCACACCAAATCAGTAATTCACATCGACACATGCGACTCTAATGCAACTCAACGATGCAATATGCATGTGGTATCAATTGTTATCCTTATCGGTCCTGCTGGGTCAACATCTCCAAGATAGATAACCACCAATAAAAGCTCGATTCAACCTTAAGGTTTCAAACCCCTCATCATTAGGTTTGGGACAAGTCACTAATTCCCACGGAATTACCAAACATTACCTCTTGACACAAATGATACATGTACATGTGCAATCTCAACAATCATATGCAATTAAGATCATCTCCATATCTTAATCATACAAGCATATTTCACATAATTTAACATATTTGAATTATCTTCACCAAATTACACAACATACATCAATCATGTCATCATTCACATACAATGCATTCTCATAGCATTAATCATCTCAATACATCATTATAACATGTAGCAAACAATTATAAACCATATTATATTCAATCAACATCAATTCCCAACAATTACATACACAAAATCAAGTAATCATTTCTCATCAAAAGTCATCCAAAACACATCGAATAAATTATTAAAATTCATGTAAATCAATGATAAATCATAAGCATCTATAATCTAGAATAGTTTCAGAAAATAATTATTTTCACATTCCAAACTGCGCTAAGCGGCACCTAGGACGCTAAGCAGCCTCGCAAAAAACTAGAAAAACCTGCTTACGGATAGTTCTATCTTGTTACGAATTTCATAACCAAAATCCATTCCAACACCCATTTTTCACTAATAAAATGTATTATAACCTATATCTAACATATATCACCAAATACAAACATCAAAACATGATTTCCAACATCAATTTCATGATTCTACATTCAAATGTTAACATGTCAAAATCTAGAAATTGAAGAATAAATCCCTATTTTCATGTTACTATCCATCACATACCATTACATACACCCATAAATCAAATAATACCCATTCTTACCTTGGATGTAGATTCTCTAGGGATCTATCTTCTTCTCTTGCCTTTTCTACTCTTTCTTCTCTTTTCCTTTTTCTTCTCTTCTCTTGTTTTCTCTTTCTAATTCTATTTCTCTTTGTTTTAAAAAACTCTTACTAACTCTTATTCCACTAATGGGCTTATCTCACCCACTCACACTAATTTATCAACTCAAGACCTAATTAGTTAATATTTCTATTTTCACACCCAATATCCAAATTACTCATATAACACATATTCTTTATTTAATAAAATAAATCATATATCTTACATCATACCAAATAAATCAATTATTCACATAATTACCCAATTTAATCAACCAATCACATATTCATCAAAATCAAATAATTAGATAATTATCAAACCAAATAATAATTAACATAGCAAATAAATAATTTAATAAAGAAAATTGAGGTGTTACAGCAGTGAACAGAGATGCCATGGCCGGATCGGCGTTGGCCGGAATCAGAATCGGTTGGAGGATTGTTGGGAGCTCCTCGGTGGGTTTCTTGGATTTCTGATTCTCCAAGAATTAGATGTCATCGTCAGGTTCGACTGAGGAGGGAGATGCAGTTAGGTCGTCTCTTTTCACGGGGATATCCTCAATGAGAGGAAGCTTTCTATTATCGTCTAGCTTGCGGACAGGGGAAATCACTGTTTTTCCAGAAAGGTGATTGTCATCATGGTCAGCCATGATAGAAATCTTTAAATGTCATTTTGATCTTTAGTTTCGAGGAAAGAAAGATGGGGAGAATGAATTTCCCACACACGACACCACTGATCTCACCGGTTGATCAGAACCTGAAGTGGACCGATAGATGACGTCTGCTAGGCTAGAATCAGTAAGGAGGAGGGAGTGTACTTGCAAGGCACTATGACGCTCAAGTAAGAAAGAGTGCAAAGAGATACAAGAAAGAGATTGGGATTTCTAGAGTGAATATTGGATACCTGGTCCTCACAAGTGTGAGGGTTTATATAGTTCCCCCGGTGCTTGACCGTTGGTTCCTATTTTTGGGCCTAGATATCAGGTTCCTCAAAAATAGATAACTTCTAGGAACTATCTGTTGTGACGGGCAGGGATGCTCGGAACTAGCCGTTACAACGGGTAGAGGAGTATCTCACGGGCAAGCGTGATTTCTGGGCGTTCCTGGATGGCTATCCTCGTGCGACTGGGCAGAATGAGGAATAGCCTATTTAGGCAGAAGTAACAGTGCAGACCCTGGTGGTCAGCCGTTTAGGACTCCTCGGGTGAGGGGCAGAGAGGATAAATTGTCCTTTATCCTTCATGTTTTATTGGGCCAAATTTATTAGGCCGTCCTACATGTAGAAGTGGATTGGGCCCTGCTTAACCATTGGACCAATTCAGAACAGAAGTCATTCTAATCTATTAGTTCTTAAATATTGGTTTACGAATTATGCCTTTGCCTCAAGCCAGATGTTGAATGCAAGGAAGTAAAACATCTGCTCTGAATCCATCTCACATGCTAGAGTTCTTCAAAAATTTCATTTCATTGGTTTTAACATTGGATCTCTCCCTTTTAAGTACCTTGGAGTTCCAATATTTTAAGGTAGGACAAATAAATCTTATTTGCAAGCAATTGTAGATAAAATTAAATCAAAGCTTGCATATTGGAAGGCATTCCCCTTATCCATGGATGAGAGAATTCAATTAGTCAAATGTATTATTCATAACATGCTAGTCTATTTAATTTATTTTGTACTTGGTTAGTGTCTCTTTTCAAAGATTAATGTACGAAGAACTTTCTTCGGTCAGGTGACTTCTCTCAAAAGAAAATTGGTAATCATGGTATGGAAGAAAGTCTACAAGCCTTACTTTGAAGGTGGTCTAGGCCACAAACCAGGTATTTGTTTCAATATCAAGAGTAATGGGTTATCATACTTAAGAGCAGTGTCTTGAGATCTAATAAATTCATCAAGAGTCACATTTTCTCTTCTTTCTTTTTTTTGAAGTAGCATCAAAATTGAACTCAAAGTGGTCTTAGTGAACACTAGCTTCACAATAGGAGATGCTATTAGCATCAACTTTTGGAAGGACAAGTGGTGTGGTTCTCAGTCTTTAGGGCATGTCTTGAAAACTCCTAACTTCCATCATCACAATCTCATAACTAGAGTTTGAAATTTTATTCATGATCATCATTGGCATATTCCTCATAATATTGATCTCATTTTCCCTAATGTCAGGCAAACTATTGATCAAATAATTATCCATGTTGATTATAAACCAGATTGTATGATATGGAACAAAATTACCTCCAGTAGCTTGTCTCGCAAGGAAGCTTACTCTTTCAAAAAACATAACTCTATGCAGTTGCATTGGGCTAAAACCATATGGTGTAAGGATATTCCACCTTTAAAATATTTGGTTTCTTGAAGACTTATGCATAATAAGCTCTCAACCAATGACAACCTAAAAGTGAGAGGTCGTGACTTGTCCTTTATCTGTAATGATGCTTACAACATGATAAATCTCTTATCATATTTTTATTGACTGCCTTTTTTCTATGAATATTTTGATATGGTTCTCCCAAGCCATTGGCCTTAACCTGCATTTGAGCTCAGCTGAAGACATTTGGAATCTCTTTGATCAATACTTTGAGCACCATTTTGATTAGCAAGAAATCATGTTATATTCAAATATAGGGTTATGCAATGGAAGAATGTAATTTATCTACTCTCTTTCAGTGTGACGTTATGGGGAAATAAGACCAAGCACAATCACTAATCCTCCATGAGCATCCTTAAGAAGTTAGGGTGAAGAAATGATGTTGGCCAAAGTCAAACCTGAGTCATTTAAGGGAACTTGTGATATTTAACCATTAGGCTATTTAATCAATTGTGAAATTAAATGATAGCATTAATGAAGCAGGCCAAGAAGAGTTGGGCCGTGGAAAGACAGTTGCTCAAAGGCCCAATTATCTTAAGGACTATGTCCTTACAAAGTAGAGTAAATGTTGTTATTTTTGTTTTTTTTCTACAGCTGCCATTACCGTTAGCACCATGTGCATTTGCTCCCTAGAGTAAGAGATGTCATTGTAATGCTATTTATAGCACCAAAGAATGAATGAAAAGGACACAGAAAATTATTGCAGTAGCTATATTTCTCATAGGATGACTCACTATTGCTTCCTTTTACATGGATGGTCCTGCTCTCAGTTGGTTTCAATGGATGATGCGTAACAATATCATCCTCTCTTACCCAGATTTCTTAATGGCGCTCGAGACCCGATTCTCCCCATCTTTTTACGACGACCCAAGAGGAGCTCTGTTCAAAGTCTCTCAGAAAGGATCCGTGAATCAATACCTCACGGAGTTTGAACGATTAGCTAATCGCATTGTGGGTCCCCCTCCATTCATCTTCATCACTTTCCTTGAGCTACAGTAGCCTCACCACACCTTCCGCCTTTTCTTCCCACTTTTTCCATGGCTTATGATGATTCTGACAACGAAAACATCCCCAAGAACGATCCCACGCCAAAATCTTCATGTGAAACCACCGATCCCACCCTAAATCCAAGAAATCTCTTCTATGTTCATCCCGACGAAAACCCTAGTGTTATCTTAGTTGTGCCGCCTCTGAATGAGCACAATTACCATAACTGGAGCAAATCAATGTGTCGTGCACTCATTTCAAAGAACAACATTGGATTCATCAATGGATCCCTCATCAAACCTTCTTCTTCAGATCCAAATTTCGATCTCTAGTATCGTGCGAACAACATGGTGATTTCGTGGATCAATTAAACCCTTTTCCCTCACATTGCGTAAAGCACCATATGTTTCGACTTTGCGTTCGATCTTTGGAACGATCTTCAAGAAAGATTCACCAAAGGTAATCACTTCAGATTCTCCGACTTTCTTCACGATCTCCACTCTATTAAACAAGGTGACATGTCTCTTTTTCAATACTTAACTGACCTCAAGATCCTCTAGGATGAACTTGAGGATATTCGACCAACACGTGCTTGCTCTTGGCCTATTCCATGCACCTGCAATTTGGTCAAAGTTGTACTCCATTACAAACATATGGAATATGTATCTTGTTTTCTCAAGGGATTGAATTATACATATCACAACACTCGCACTCAAATCTTGCTGCTCGACCCCATTCCCAGTATTAGTTGAGTTTACTCGCTTATTGCTCAACAAGAAGTTGCTTCCATCACTTCTCCGGTTATTACTCCCACCATCCTATATGCTAGAAACAATTCAAACACTTGTCGTGGCAAAGGACGAGGGAGCTCCAAAAATTCATGTTTTACACAAATTTCCATTAAACAGATCACATAGTGGATACCTGTTATTTCAAACAATGCTTTCCACCGGAATATCACACCAAAAACACCAAAAATGCTTTTGAATCAAAGCCCACTTAGAACTCATACAAAGATGGTGTCATTTCCAAGGAAGATTATTAGCAATTGCTTCTTCTTCTTTAACAATCAAGGAAAGACAATCACAACAAAAAAGTTGAATCATCTTCACCCAAGAATAATCGCATAATTTCAAGTATTATAAAAACAGGTAATTCACTTAATTGTTCATCTATGTGGATACTTGACTCGGGAGTATCTGACCATCTATGCCCCCACATAAAATGCTTTGCTACCACTCAAATCATTGACCCTATTAATATTTATCTTCCCAATGGGAATTACATCACTGCTAATTTTTCTGGCACGGTCATTCTTGATTAATCTATTCAACTTCAACATGTGTTTTACATTTCTGAAGTTACATTTAGCCTTATATTCATATCTAAATTATACAACAACTCCAATTTTACCACTTACTTCTCACACAACTTCTATTATATACAGAATGTGTCTACGAAGAGGAGGATTGAAATGTCGTTCATCATAGAAACCTCTACATCATTCACAAAGAACTTATACATAATTCTACTTCCTATGGCAATCATGTTAGTATTTTTAATTCTGATAGTTTGAACAATACTAGCTCCCCTAACCCCTTTAGATTTGCAGCACCGTAGATTGGGTCATCCCTCTAATGAGGTTTTATATCATATGTCTCAAAACTATCCTAATATCAAATTCAATAAATATTTACTTTGTCATGCTTGTCATTTAGCTAAACAACGTAGGCTTCCTTTTCCTACTAGTCATTCAATAACTTCTCATTTCTTTGAATTAGTTCATATGGGGGAACATATATCTATAATTTCCTTAGATGACTTTCAATACTTTCTTACTATTGTTGATAACTTTACTCGTTATCCATGGACTTTTCTGATGCATAATAAAGCTGCAACAAGAACTCATATCCAAAATTTCATCACATATTGTCTGTTATACCTCAATTCTCCCCCTAATATTTTTATGTCATCACATAGCATCATTGCATTGAGATCACGCTGTCTTCAAGCTTCATTCCGCACGGTTAAGGTGAGTTCGGTTACTTGGTTCTCAAGACTTTTTGAGATACGTTCATGTGTTTATTTCAATGCCTTCTTCAACAAGTAAATCTCAAATTTTGGCAAGTGTGAACAGTGAGAATCAGAATTTCGCCATCTCAAGCTCAAGTGTTCCGTCAAGTAGTAGCAAAGCATAAATTCATAGCTTTCAGGATTCAAGTGCACTCCGTATATTTTTTTCGAGCTTCACAATCAGTGAGTAATCAAATCATCAGCCTATCAAGCTCTCACGTGTTCCATCATGTTTCGAATTGCAAGGAAAATCAAGCGTTTTAGTTGATTCAGGACAATTTGAACAAAAAATCAGTGTTTCACAGTGAGACTTCAAAATTTCACAACTTGAGATCAAAAAGTGATTTGGGATTGATTCTTCAGTCATTGGAACCGCCTTGAGGTCTTCTTCAATTCATCTATTCATGCCAAAGGATAATTACGTGAGGAAGATTTTCTAAAGCGCCAAATACCTGAAATGCGTTATATAGTAGAGCATTTGAATCATCTTGTTATTTCCTCCAGTTTTCATGTTCGGCTCGGAAGCCAATTCTTTGAGGAAGATCTTTGAATGTGGGAGTACTTTGAAGCTAAACGGTGAAAAAACATTGAAAATATTATGCTGAACCGTTATTTTTCGAACGTTTAAAAATTCATAACTTTCACTTGGATCAATGTTTTTGAGACGTTCTTTGGGTGAAAAATCTGTCTTGATTTTATCTTCAATTTGTATGTTCGGACCGAGAGATGATTCTTTGTAGAAGATCTCCAAAAGTGCGAATTACCAGAGTATTTTTACAGCAAAGCAAAATTTTGGTTCACCGTCTTCTTAATATTATAAAAATTGTATCTCTCTCGATTTTTATCATATGGGACTGGTTCTTGAAGCGTTGGTTTGCAAATTTTGTCTATTATAAATTTGTTTCAGACCTTGAGTTCAAATGGTATTCCAAAGGCTTCCATTTATGGTCTATTTCACGGGTGGTACAGTGAATTTCGTTGAAGCTGGAAGGAAATTCATCTGAGATAACGTCTGAGCAACTTCAAAAATTCATAACTTTCTCATCGTTTATCTGATTGATTATGTTCTTTCGATATTGCGTCACAAATTTCGCAATCTTCCATTTTGATGTTGGGCTCGAGTCAAGATTTCGTACCGATGATGACATGGAATTTTCTTATTGCGTTGTGCATTAAATTTACTGACACTGTGATAAGAAGGTCCAACCCAAATTTAAATCCAATGCCCAATTGGAGGGAGTTTATATTAAAAAAATCATAATTTCTAGGACAACTCACTCACTCTAAAAAACCTCTCAAATTTCTCTCTTTATTCTCTCCAAGATCAAGCACATTCTTCTCTCATTTTTTCTCAAGAGCATCGACAATATTCATCACCTTCAAGAACAAAACTCATCAAGATCAAGAATCACCAAAGTTGCAAGTCTCTTCCCTCTCATCTTCGATCTCCCTTCGCCTCTCCGGACCGTTTGCCACCAACGGAAAATCCGACTGGAGCTTACCGCCGCCTTCGTGAATCTGCTGCTATTCTCCTCCCTCTGCTTGATTTCTATGATTTCCAGTACTTCCTTCGTGATCCGATTGCAATTCCTATCTTCATCAACTTCCTCTTCTCTTCAATTTGGTAATTCTTCATCTCTTTTGCTTTGATTCTTGAATTAACTTGCAATTGTGATGTAAATTCTTGAATTGTAAATCATTGTGGAATTATAATATTGAATATTGTTTAGAGATTAATTGTTTGCTTCTTGAGTTATATTGAAAATTGAGCATTAAAGAATGAGTAAAAATTGATGTAGATTAGGTGGTTGTTAAAAGGCCTATGAGGTGAATTTTTGTGTGATTTGGATTGTTGAATCGATTCTTGATTTTGGATATGATTTTGAAATCTGGAATTAGTTAGATAATTACATAATCGATATTAGATGTTGAATTTCATTCGGAAAATTGATGTTGATGTTTAAACACCGAATTTGAGATTTGATATCAATTATGGAATTATGACGAGGTTTAAGTTGTTAATTCATGAGTTAATACAACTTTTCAAATCAGTTTGTTGATAAATTCGTTTTTCGACATCAAAATTTCAAATCTGATTAGTTGCATTATCACTTGAATTATGTTGTTTGAGTTGAATTTTGCGGATTTCATTTGTTGCAACTTTTGCATTTTTTTAATAAGGGGTTGGTATTTGAACCAACGAGCACTCTCGTATGCCGTCCCCTAGGATCAAAGTTTGATTCTTGCATTGATTTGTTTTGTGATATAAGAATGAATTAAAGTGTTGATGTTGTGTGAATTGAACTTTTGAGATAAGCTTTTTTGCACCTTAAGCCTTCCTGCGTCGACTCACCGTGCCTCCGGTCGACTCACGTTGTTTCCATCACCCACGGGAAGCCTCGCGTCAACTCTCTGCATCGGCTTCCAAGTTTCCTTTGCATCGACTCACTCTGCCTCCGGTCGACGCATGTTGGCTGGATTTTTTTTTTGTGCCACGCTCTGGAAGCCTCGTGTCGACCCTTAGTGTCGACTCACAAAATCCTTTTTCATTGATGCACTCTTCCTTTGAGTCGATGCATATTGACAGTGTGATACGGTGGGAGAAATGACTTTAGGGTTTGTGTTTTATCACAAATGTTGCAAATAGCAAGAGTCGCCACCGACTTTTCTTTTATCCAATAAAGGAAAGGGTGAAAAGAACAGGAAAGACCTTTGAGAATTTTCTTGAGTTCGGGGGTAGGTTATGGAAAGGGAAGGTGTTAGCACCATTTCCATCTACAGTTATCTACATGCTCTTAATTGCTAGCTCACTTTAAAAATGCTTTATGTTTGTGTATGTTTGGAAATATTTTGAAAATGCCTAAGTGCGGCATTTTTGTAATGATTCTCGTATCGTTGAGAATGTATACAAAAATGTTTGTTTTGAAAATATTTATTGGAAAGAAGTGTTGGTTTTGGAAAGTGTTTTGAAAATGCCAATGTAAGGCAATTTGCTTTATAATAACCCTTGTATCAGTCCTCAAGAGTGTTTATAAAGTGTTTTGAAAGTGTGAAGTATGGAAATTATTTTAGTTTGTGAGCAAGCGATTACGAGCGATCTACCAACTCAAAAAGTATTTGTTATTTTCCTCCTACTTTAGATAGTGCTAACCTTCCATTAGTTAGTAGAGAGCCCTATCATTAGATGTGAGGGACAAGCGTTGGTCACCGTACAATCATAGAAGGAAACTTGTAAGACATTTTAGCAATTTTCGTAATGGACTAAGATCGTTTATCGAAGGCAACATTGAAGGGTCATCGAGGGACTACGATCTTTTAATTGAGGGTCTTTGCTAAAGCATATCACGTTCGAGGGACGTGACTGTTTTAATTTGAGGAAACAAGTGCGGTTACCCTAGAGGTGCCCATGTGCAAAGTGTTTTGATTTCAAGTATTTGTCTTGTGATTAAGTTTTCTAATGATTAACTTTAATCTTGCCATACAAACTCTAATTACTAACAGTAATAAGGAAAACGGTAAATTACGGAAATTAAATGTCATACGCTATTACAATGCTTCGTGAGTGGGGGTACAAGTTTTATGAATAGGGGAGGAAAGCAATAAACCCTAATTATCTATTACAAACTTTTGACAGTTACATAATTGTATTAATGTGAAAAATAAACAAATGCGCGGAGATAGAAAGGGGAAAGATGGAAAAAACCTAAAATTTTTAAGTATTTTAAGAAAATATTTTGTTGTTTCTTTGTTTAGAAAAAATTTGAAATGGGAAAAAAAATTAGACCTGATTCTAATTTAATTTACAATTTCATTATTTTAAAATAAAATAAGGTGTGATTAATTTAATTAATATTTATTATCAAAAATTAAATTAACTAATTAAAGTTTAAAGAATTCTAAGTATTTAGAAAATCTGTTTTGGTGTTTTATTTAGAAAAGATATATGAAATATAAAATCTAATTCTAATTAAATAAAATCAAAGTGATTAAATAAATTAATTTTTATTTGTAAAAAATTAAAATAATTAATTAAAACCCTAAATCTAATTTTTTAAATCATTTTTATGATTTTTTTCTGATTAAATAAAAATGATTTAGAAAAAGAAAAAATTAATTAAAATAAAAAAAGGAAATAAAATGGGCCTGTGTTTGAACAAGTAAATTGGGGGTGTTAGAAAGCAAAAATGAAAGGCCCGAGACAAGGAATTTATGGATCATGTATGAGCAACTCGGGGGGTCCATTGTAGGGATGCAATTCTGGGCGTTGGATGGTGATGAACATGATCTGATGTTGATCTGATGGTTGAGATGTGAGGATTTACCACGCGCGTGCTTGCCTTGCTTATACTGGATCTGTAGAGAAAATATGGAAAAATAACATGCCAGGGGCATGGATCAAA